GGCGTGGCCTATATAGGGAGATTCAGCTCCATTCACCGAACGCGTGGATATAAGGTTTTTGAATGTGAGACAAACGATGCAAGAGTTATTAGCCTAACGGACTTTGCTTAAAAGTAACGCCTAGTGGCCGAACCGAAAGCAACGCGAAGAATATCCAATTTTTCACCAGGCCTGACAACTTTGTTAAATAAAACTGACTTTTTGTATACGTTCAGGGGGTCAAAAATGCAATTAAAGGGGCTAAAAATAATAATAATAATAACTTTAGCAAATACAATAGGGACCTTCCAGTTTAAACTGGCTCAGTCCCTAAAAAACTACAGATCAAGACAAAAATTTAGCAAGTTTGAAGGAACTGCCAGCCATGGCTGACTTCCTAACTGGATTAGCACATTAAATAAAAGCTTTACAAAGTACTTGTAAGAGGGCACCCTTTCAATAGATTTACCCTAAAATGCTAAGTGAGCTTTAGAGATGAGCATGAAATTTCTTTGCAATTTTAAACTCAGCAGAGCAGTTTGATGTAATGATGGAAGTTCAATCTGAAGATCTTACACCGTCTGTATTATGGAGGGAACATGCGTATAAAGGACACTGTCATCAATATAGAAGTGTATTGTTGCTTGAATGTCCTAGTCATTCATATAAACAGACATTCTGACACTGAAGGCAGAGGCTGCCATACAAGGTGCCAACTGCTAATCAGCACTTCCTATCCAAAGTGCTCTCGATAATACAAAGCTTACCTATACATACGCTAACATGGAAGGCCATGCTCAAGAAAGCCTTGACTGAACTGGGGGAGCTGGGAATCAAACCAGCGACCGTCCGATTACTAGACAACTCACTCTACCACCTGAGCCACAACTGCCCCATCATAGGCAGCTTTCCAAATTTTAGGTATTGAGTTGAAGAGAACACTCAAATTAAAAATATATGTAATGGGCTGACCAGTAATATCTGTCGCCACATTCAATGATCCAGATTGTCTGGTCTTGCAGACTTTTTGTGAAACTTGAGCAACTGAAATAAGTTTAAAATCAAACAAATCAAGATTTCCAGTAGTATTAGAACATGGGACCAATGAATTTAGATTTTAGTTATAAAATACAGACCCAACATGGATGAATTTTTGTTAAACTGACTGACCATTGCAGCAAATACTGGCTGGGTTTCAGAAATTGTCAGTCTAACCCACAAAAAGGTAATTTTCGGACAGATCATTGACAGCCTCTCCTCTGCTTCATCCTCCCAACAGTATGCGTCCCAACATCTTCCTGGGAGTCAGTGATGGCTCTGCTCAGTACAGGAAGTGGTACTACGAGCTGATTGTGGATCAGGCAGTGCCGTTCATCACAGCAGAGGCTACTCACCTCAGGGTGGGCTGGGCCAACACCAGTGGCTATGCACCCTACCCAAGTGGGGGGGAGGGGTGGGGAGGCAACGGGGTGGGTGATGACCTCTACTCCTATGGCTTTGATGGACTCCATCTCTGGTCAGGTGAGTTGTGTGTGTGTATATGTGTGTGTGTTTGTGTGTGTGTAAAGAGAAATGATGATAGTATAACTAGGTATAGCTGGTACTTCTATATGATAACCAGCTAAATAATAATTGTATATTTTTCTGCTTAACAACAAGTTAGGACAAGCTACTTTCTAAATAGTCTCTGAAACTGAAATAATGAGACAACATACCATGAAAAGCATTCACTGAATATGCTTTGCTCTAACAAACTGGATGAACTTGCCTTCAAATTAAACTCTGTCCTCACTGTGCAGGATGTATTGCGCGGACTGTTAACTCACCCAATCAACATCTTCTGAGAGCAGAGGATGTGGTGAGCTGCTGCCTGGACCTCAGTGTGCCCAGTATCTCCTTCAGGATCAACGGCCAGCCAGTTCAGGGCATGTTTGAAAACTTCAACTCTGATGGCCTCTTCTTCCCTGTGGCCAGCTTCTCTGCCGGAGTCAAGTCAGTGCTTCACTGAAATCCGTTCACACAAACAGGAAATTCAGTTATTAGGGCCCGAGCACTGACCAGTGCGAAAGCCCTATTGTAATTGTAAGAATTCTCCATTATTATTTTTTTTTTTGCCTCTTTGATCGCATGTTTGAATACTTTCCAGTGCTCGAAAAGTCAGGGAAATTTGCACGAAATTCAAACGTTCGAGAACTCGATGTATGCATTTTCCATGATTAAAAGTTGTGCTATTTACGACATTCCGTCAAACGGCGTGCCCGTGGCGTGGCGTCCAATTTCAAGGACTCGCCATGAAAATGGAAGTTGTCATAACTTCAGTGTATAAGATGCAAACGGAACTTCACACGTCTAATAAGAGTCCCGCCCTGAACACGTCTACATGACAATATTCAGATATACTCATAGGACCAAACTGTCCGCGTCAAACGTGGACATACATGAATTTGCTGTAACTTGAGTATACATTGTCCATTCGGCACCAAACCTCAAGTGTCTGATAAGAGTCACGCCCTGAACACATCTATGTGATAATATTCAGTAAAAGTGATAGGGCCACCTCCTCAATAGCGCCCCTACGAACTTACAAAAAACAGCCCCAGTGTCCTGTTTAGGGGACATGAATGAAAATTGGCAGGCATATATATCAAGTTAGGACGTACAAAAAAGCCTCTTGGACCCATAACCCAAACACAACAGGAAGTCAGCCTTTTTGAATTTTGGCGATTTGCACACGTTGTATTTGAATGAACTCCTCCTAGGGAATTTATCGGATCAAATTCATTCAAATTTAGTGGGCACAACCCTCAGGATTAAAAGTTGTGCTCCTCATGACTATTCATTGAGCAGCGTGGCGTTAAATTTTTACGTACCGCCAGAACACACAAATTTGCTATAACTTGAGTGTACATTGTCCATTCGGCTCCAAACTTCACTTGTCTGATAAGAGTCCTGCCCTGAACATGCC